AAGCAAGACTTTGTTTTCTCATGTCATCACCCTAATGACTGGTAATCTGATGACTGATGGGGTAATATTAAAGAAGAAGCAGAAGAGGTTGAGGAAACACAGATCCATAAGGATGAATGAAGCATAAGCAGAGAGATCCTTGCACTGCAGGTCCTCAGGTGCAGCTTCCTCCCCAGTTAGTAGCGCAGAACTGATATCACCAAATCTCAACCCAAATTTGGTAAAAGTAGCCATCAGAGACAGCAGCAGGGCCTTAGATGATCTCACACTGCAGATGCACAGCTATGAGGCTTAAAGTGACATTAAACCCTCAGATTTTTTAACATAAACCAATACTGTAATGTGTGCCTTACTGTAATCCATGGTAGTTTCCCTTCTCATGTCTTCTCATGCTGGGGGAGAACTTCCCTTTGCAGCTGTGTGCCTCTTCCTGTAGTGCTGGCTCAGGTTGCAAACCTACACACAGACACCATGTATCCATTTCAGAAACAAGGCACTCAGCTGCGAAACAGAAGTTCAGCCGAGCATGAGAAGAGATACAGATTTAAAAGGAAGAGCAGCAAAGAGAAGGGAAACAACCATGGATCACAGTAAGGCGCACATTACACTATTGTTTTATGTTAAAAAATCTGAGGGTTTAAATGTCACTTTAAGGTGACGCTAAACTCAAGAGTTAAATATTAAAAATGCATGCAGTCGAACTCCTCCTGCAATTCGGTTCAGCCGTACGGTACATGCAGAGCATTTTCGGCTGACCGAAGGCAGATGCTAGCAGATGTACGGCTGACTCCAGCTGATGTACGGCTGAACACAGCCGTACAGGGCTGAAGTGAATAGCTGAACTGCATTCGGCTCACTTCACTTCGGCTCGGTTATTCACAAAAATTGCTCTGGTCCATAGGGAGCTAAAAGGGTAAAATGACAGCCAGGCAACTATCAATTTCCAGAGGAAAATCCAGCAATGGCAGCTCCCATATTTATCTCAGCAAGGGCTTCCTTTAATGAAGCGTAGATGCTGACTGGTCTGCCTCAGCCTTCTACATATGCCGCAGGAACCCAACATGACACATTCCTGTAATCAGCTTACGGTAAATATTTATAATTAGCCACGTCTACAATACCGCGGGGAGGAAAGGCAATCATAAAGGGACAAGCGAGTTATTAATATGACGACTTTACGTTGACTTGACGTCTCTCCCACCCACTGCCTGCAAGAGGCAGGTAACGGCTTTATCCCATGATGCTCAGAAAAGTGGCCGGGATAATCTCCCCGTCCGAACTCCCTCTCTCTCAATGAACGCCTTTAAAGATCACTTGCCATTTACGCAAATGGACTTGGCTGCGGCGTTCTAAAGGCTGGCACGTTCTCCACCTCTTCCTTTGTCTGCTCGCCCCGTGCTTAGAATTCAGCAGCACGCTCTGTGCACTGGGGTGGAAAATGCTACCAACTGCGCATCTAAAAATGATTAAATCTGTCTGAGGGTGCATGTGCAGGAGGCCAAATATTACCCCGTGCATCCTTCACTGATGTTCAAAGGGGTGTCCTTAAAGTGGACTGTTACCCATATCTTTAAAATAACAACAAACACACCTTTAGAAATGTTTGGTGATGACAATCTACAAAGACATACTTCTAGATCATTGCCGGCTTTTTATTCTTTGCATTCCTTATTTCTCTTTTCTTCCCCAGTATTCTGACAGTGGCCATGTTTACTAAGGGCAGATTACTAACTCTCCTTTTACTTCCTGGATTTCTGGCACAGACATGTGACTAGGATGTGTGACCATGCACATCATCTCAGGGGAGGAAAATGCCTTTCCCTGAGATCTCATAAGATTACAGATGAGATTCCCCAGCAATGCTCTGCTGAAGACAAGGCAATCCCAGTGTGCATTGCTTTGGCAAACTGAAGTCATTTTGCCCTTTCAAAGCAGGAAGTGAATGTTCTGCAAGTGTCAGTATTTCACAATCACAGCATTTTACACCTGACATGTCCATGTTATTATTAATCCTCATGGAGGGATGCATTGGTAGAATTTGATTTTTGACTGTGAAGGTCCGCTTTAAACAGATCACCAGTTGAAAGTGTTTGCACACCCCAACAATAAACTTCTCCTGTTGCTCCCTTTTGGTCCGTTAGATATACCATTGAAAGTGTTTTGTTATATCTGTTCAATAAGTGCAAAATGCTTATTGATCCTGCCAGAAATCTAGTTAGTTGGTAACTTCTTATGCAGCACTGTTATCTGTTTACACTTTCTCTGAACTACAAAACACTTCCCTTCTCATGTTATAGGAATGATGAAAGGCAAAGGTATACTGTAGTCCCAATACACTTCCTGACCTAAGGTGACAATGCTGCTCCCCCATAGATACTGTACGCAAATGAGTGTTGTCACCCTAGCACAGGGCGTGTGTTACTGGCAGAACAACGCTGCTATCGCCTACTATGTCCACCTTTAGGTGATCAAATGTCTTCAGGGAATCTTATTCTGCCTCTACCTAACAGAAATTTTACTTTCTTCATCAACTCATCCCCACACAGTTAATACCTTTTGTATCACTTCCCTCCCCCCCCCCCCCACCTTTTAAATTGTAAGCTCTCATGATCAGAGCCCTCCTATCCTTCCTCAATCCAGAAATAGCCACACTCCAAGGGTCTTCACTGAAGATTAAAATATTTATTTATGGAATACATACGGTTTGTTCCTCCCCATGTATGCTCAACCACTAACGCGTTTTACCATTCCGACTTTCTCCACGATTGAGTAAGCCTGCACCTGAGACACAATTGTAGTGCAAGCCTGGTTTTGGAAGGTGAGCAGTGTTTGCTGTGGATTACTCCTGACCCTCTTGCTTGAATTGTATTGTAACTGTATTGTCTCTCTTTATATTGTAAAGCGTTGCAAAAACTCTTGGTGTTATATACATCCTGCGTAGTAATTATTAAATCATAAACAGAGTCAGAGAATATAATTCAGACTCCAAATAAGCCAGAGAAATAGGCTATTTATGCTACTGGAGAATCTTGTTATACACTGCCTATACAAAAACAGAAAAGTCACATACTCTATTTCCTTGGACCATCTTTAGCTTTGATTACGGCACGCATTGGCCGTGGCATCGTTTCGATAAGCTTATGCAATGTCACAACATTTATTTCCGTTCAGAGTTGCATTCATTTTTCACCAAGATCTTGTAGTGATGATGGGAGTGCCGGACCACTGTGTAAAGTCTTCTCCAGCACATCCCAAAGATTCTCAATGGGGTTAAGGTCTGGACTCTGTGGTGACCCTTCCATGTGTGACAATGATGCCTCATGCTCCCTGAACCACTCTTTCACAATCTGAGCCCGATGAATCCTGACATTGTCATCTTGGAATATGCCCAATGTGCCATCAGAGAAGAAAAGATCCATTGATGGAAAAATCTGATCATTCAGTATATTCAGGTAGGCAGCTGACCTCATTCTTTGGGCACATAACCTTGCTGAACCTAGACCTATGATCCAATTGAAGGCTCTGACCTATTTGCTTAGCTTATTTGGTGACTTTTTTTTGGACTGGCCGTGTTTGATCCGGCACTTTGCAACCTCCCTCCTAAGGAACAGAAGTAATGCACTTTACAACTGCTTTTTTGCTATTGAGTAGAAGAAAATACAAAGATTCCGGATGAGATCAGGAAGGAACCCCTACCTCTAGTTTTAGGAAAAGTAAACCTGTATTTTGTTCCTAACAGGCCCTGTTAAAGGGTCACATTACCTTGTAGAACACAAGCAACGTATACTTCCTTTCCATTCACTTTCTTGCCGCTGCAATCTGCTGCCATCAACCCAAGACATACTGGGGGGGGGAATTTATCAAAGTTAGAGCAGACAAAATCTGGAGCAGATTTGCACTGCAACCAATCAACTTCTATCTCTCATTTTCAAATCCCAAATGAGCAAACTGAAGAGAGATGCTGATTGGTTGCCAAGGGCAACTGCTCCAGTTTCTGTTTGCCCCATTTTTTATAAGTTCTTCCCATTGTATATATACTGGAATATGGATCACTTTCTTGCCACTGCAATCTGCTGCCACAAACCCAAGACATACTGTATATACACAGGAATATGTATCACTTTCTTGTAAACAGACAATCATCGGTCCCCAACATTGTCACATGGGGCCAATAAAGTACTGACTTTCACCGGAATCCTGGGTGGTCTGGTGGCTGATTAGAGTGCTGGGAGGACAAGTGGAAAGCCAATTCCCCTTATTTATGCTCCACAGAATAAGGTGAACCAGTTAGTTTGCACATTGTGGGTGTCAAATGCTGTGTAATATGGTCACAGTGCAACTCAGGGGTGGGCAAACTCTGGCCCTCCAGCTGTGGTGACACTACATACCATCATGCATCTCTCTCTGGGAGTCATGCCTGTGGCTGTGAGAATCTTGCAATGCCTCATGGGATTTGTAGTTGCACCGCAGCTGGAGGGCTGGAGTTTGTAATTATAGCATGTACTTTGGATTTAATGTAACAAGTCAAGATGATTGGGCAGGGATGGACAAATTGATATGGAATTCAGAAGCCAGCCTGTCCAATTCCTGGAGTCAGGAGTATTTTGTTTTTTTAAGGAGCCAGCTCCATCAACAACAACTAGAGAAAACCTTCAAAGCTTGGCACCTGCAGTACATTTTGAAGTCGCATTGGTGGCCTGGCTCCTTGGATGTGACCGGCTTTGACTGGCATAAAGACAAACTAAACAACATCTCCCACTATTAGGTACGATGCTCCGCCCAACGTGATGAGAAAGAAATTCAACGCTGAACACATAAAACAAGGGTAGCCAAACTCCGGCCCTCCAACTCTGGTGAAACTACAAATCCCATGATGCGTCTCTCTCCGGGAGTCATGTCTGTGGCTGTGAGAATCTTGCAATGCCTCATGGGAGTTTTAGTTCCACACAGCTGGAGGGCCAGAGTTTGGCTACCCCTGGCATAAAGGTAAGCTCACTAACCTGTCAGGTCGGTTCCCTCCGGAAAGAAGAGAATTTGGAGAGGTTCTTTAATGTCGCAAAAATAATCGAGCATGGCTTCAAAATGGCTTTTATCCTCCTCCCACTTCCTGCGGATGAAAATGAAAGAGGCGACCTGCATAGCCCAACCTGCAAACATAAGATGACTCAGTGAATGGGCAGAAAATACAGCCAGGCAGATATCTGTAGGACAAAGTGCAATTGCTTGTTTTAATGAAATCTGATCTCCGGCCTTCCCTTCAGTCTTATATCTGACCTCCCGCCTTCCCTTCAGTCTTATATCTGCCCTCCCGCCTTCCCTTCAGTCTTATATCTGCCCTCCCGCCTTCCCTTCAGTCTTATATCTGCCCTCCCGCCTTCCCTTCAGTCTTATATCTGCCCTCCCGCCTTCCCTTCAGTCTTATATCTGCCCTCCCGCCTTCCCTTCAGTCTTATATCTGCCCTCCCGCCTTCCCTTCAGTCTTATATCTGCCCTCCCGCCTTCCCTTCAGTCTTATATCTGCCCTCCCGCCTTCCCTTCAGTCTTATATCTGCCCTCCCGCCTTCCCTTCAGTCTTATATCTGACCTCCGGCCTTCCCTTCAGTCTTGCACAGTTGTACCGGCTCCTCTCCTGGACTGAAATGTCTTCCTCTGATGTCACTGCACACTGTGAGCTTTGTAAATGTGCATTAGAAGCTGCAGCAAGTCAGATAGAGCCCGACTCATTTCCTGGCTGGTGGATGTCCAGCATCATCTAGCTCTTTACGCAGCAGCCTACCTGTCCCAAGTCCACCCCGTTCATTCACCGGATGAACCATCTGCTGCTCTCTGCCACGTGATGGTAAGGAAGGCAACACTATACGGCCATGATATCAGTGCTGGGATTTGATGCATTCTGATACACGTGCACATAGATTATTAAAAACTGAATTTCAGGCAGTACAAAAATGACACCAATTATTAGTTATGTATTATTATGTATTTTGAAATGCAGCTAGTAGAAGTACCTGAACCTTTCTAGATACCTGCTCCTTGTGATTCCCTGTACAACAGCACTCTGGAGACTGGGAGAAGGAGGGGAAGCACTATGGATCAATCAGGTGCTGAAAAGGATGAGAGGAGTAGAAGGGAGTCTAATCAGTCTTCTGCTGCTCCTTTAGTGTCTATTCTCAGGCTGCAGCCAGGTAGGTGACCAGGGTGTGTTGTTTAATGCGACCCTCTTGCTTCCTCAAGGTAATAATACTAAAAGGACCTACAAGCAGAGGAATATGCACCTTTCCAGTGGGTGGTGTGTCACACCACATCACTACGCCACATGCTATGGGCACTCGTGCATTGCTCTGCTCACTTAATTCTGTATCTCTACCCATTATGTTTCCCCAATTCTCTACCACAGGGGTGGGCAACTCTGGCTCTCCAGCTGCGGGTGAAACAACAAAACCCATCATGGATCTGCCTCTGGGAGTCATGGCTGTGGCTGTCAAAGTCTTGCAATGCCTCATTGGATATGTAGTTCCACAACAGCTGGAGGGCCGGAGTTTGGCTACTCCTGAGAAAACGTGCCTCCCTGCTGCTCTTTGTGGTTCCTCCAGCTGATAAACCACAACCGGAAGAGGGAGAAGGTTATCTGTTATCGGAAACACCCCCAGATAGTAGCAGGTCGCAGACTGCCAGGAATCTAGCATTTTCAAGAGGCTGTCAGCCCCCTATTTCTTGCAGTTCAGGTTCTCTTTAGAGTATAATTAAACCTTTTTTTTTGCATATATCTACTGTAGATACATGCAAAAACATACAAAGAAATAAAAAATAAGTTACCAAACAGGTTATTACTTACCTGTGTCTCCGCCGCGCGCTCCTGTCCGAACATCTGAATATTCTCAAACGGCCGTGAAGGGTGATGGGGCGGGCGCATGTGCAGTAGAGATCTTCGGCCGGGAGTGGAGTAGAGACACAGGGTAAGTCAATGCAGGCAGCCTGGGCAGCGTGCACCCGCACAGACACCGTGGGACACAGCAGTCAGCGCTGGATCAGAGACCGGCACCAGCGCTGGAGGGATTGCTGAAAACTACTGGTAGGAAGAAGATGATCGGATCAAGAGGCATCATTTCAGGTTAATCCTTACACCAGCATGGGGGGCGGAAATGTGACTTTAATGTCACTTTAAGGCCCAATACGGGCTGGCACACAGATGTCATATTAGTGGATCTCGAGAGGTTAATGACTGAATTTAGAGAGCAATCACTTATGGCTCTTCTTCCTAAAGACAGCAATCAGCCAGTTTGTAATCACATAACAGGCAAAGATAACTATATGGTTAGAGCTGGTGGGTGCGCCGATATAAATAGCGCTCAACCAAAATAAAAGGGAAGTAGACTGTTCTTGAAAGCAATGAATTAAATATTTCTTATAGCTGAACTCCGCGATAAGCAAATATTATCTAAATACAAGAGTCCTTATTTGAATCCTGATGAGCTTTATGTATTTCTTCCAGATCTGTGCAGTAATCCAGCGTGACATTTGGAGCTTCCTGTAATAAAGACCAGTCACTGCTACTCTCTCTCCTTGTGCAGGGTGACTGGTCTTGTCTCCACCCTCCTGTTGTTTTCTGCAGGCAGCCTGTAGTGGGTGAAGCCTGCTGGGCCCCTCCCACGGCTCTTCTCTCTGCACAGGTTATGTGCAGCACAGTGATGATGTCACCGCTACTTTAACAAGGTAACAATTGGGTTTGCAAAAGCATTAATGTGGATTTACATCCTTTGCAGCTATTGAATTCGGACTTTATTCTGCCCCTGAAATAACAGAACTGGGTTAGTTTTCACAATTACATTCTAGCATTAAGCGGAATTAGACTGCTATGAGCTGGATGGGGTATTTGCCATAAGGATGCAGACTATCCTTGCACATTAGGGCACACATATCTCACAAGGGTGCCCTTCTCCAGAGCTCTGCTCCTCTTTGCCCCACTATTTCCGGGATCCCAGGCATCGTTTTGGTGTGAATTCGCCATGGGTGCCACTGTCGGTATTCCTTCAGCCAGCATCCCTCAAATCAGCTGATTGAAGGAGCCGGTTGGAAAACCTTCTAAATTAACAGAGCCGGCAGTCAATGAGCTGCCGGCTCTGTTCGGATATTCTGACAGCTGGTGGTGGCTGCCATCAGAATATAACGAAGACAGCGGAATCAACGTTCGTAGCACGACAGACAGAGGAATCTGTTCTATTTTTTCCGTTGAGCCCGCGGGTTGAACGAAAAAAAAAAAAAAACCAGAACAGCGTATGGCCAGCTTAACTCATGTTATATCATCCCCAGCACCTTACCCTACAGATCTGTAGGATTCTGGAAATTAACTGTGAGTTTACACTGCACGCACTGTACGATGTACACAGAACATAAAATATTGCGAACAACAAAGCAGAACGATTTTATTCAATGATATTATTAGAATGTTGATGAGGGGAAATGAGGAACCAGGAAGGTGAAATATAAGCAGATTAAACTTCAGCTTTAAGGCCTGGTTCACACTTGGGCGTTTTACAGCGCGTTCCTACGCTCTGTAAAACGCTCAACATGTGAAAACCAATGATTGCCTATGGGTATGGTTCCCACCTGGGTGTTTTACAGCACGTAGGAACGCGCTGCAAAACGCCCAAAGAAGTACAGGAGCTTCTTTGGGGCGTATTTGCCGCGCGCATCCATTGGGATACAGCCAGGTAGCCCTCGGAAACGCGCGTTTTTTGTACCGCGAATCGCGGTAAAAACGCGTGGCGCGACAAACGCGCATATTCGATAAGCCTAGGTGTGAACCCAGCCTAAAGTAGAACCGAAGCCAATTTTCTTCCTTTTAGTTTTTGGATAGAGTCAGGGAGGGTTATAAACCCGTTCGTCATTATTTATTTTTCCTTCTGTGTCCCACTGGGGAGATTTCCCTTTAATTCCTGCCCAATGGCCACAACAAGAAGTGAGAGGAAGTCCCTCCAAAGAGCGTACAAATCCTGGTGGTCAGCAGGGTCACCAGAACTAGTGTCCCCATTGGAAGATTTCCCTTCTATTCCGGTTCTGTTGACAACTCAAAATTTGGGATTTTCTTTCAAAGATAATGGTCACCAGGACAGATGGGGGGGGGGGGGGGGCTCCCTAATGGGGACAAAAAATTAAAAAAATTATGTCACCAGCACACCGTATGAATAATTAGCAAAAGTCCATTATTTAATGACTCATTGCCATTCAATACAGTATTGATGTAGTATTGAATGGCAATGTGTCATTAAATGGACTTTTGCTAATTAATCATACGGTGTGCTGGTGACATAATTTCTTCTTCTGTGTTAATCACGGTGCCGTCCGTGGTCACTACAAGCACCCACCCGTTTGCATGGGTTTCTCTGATGTTCCGGTAAGGAGTGCAGCAAGGGTTTTTTGGCTCCCTAATGGGGACACAGACAGCAATAAAAACCTGACAGGGGGTTCTAATCTCTCTCCACTCTACCTAAATCTAAAAAAAGGTTTTGACTTGCACTTTTATATGATGATGATGGATGGATGGGATGATGAATGGATGGGATAAATGGATGGGGTGAGCTGATGAATGGATGGGATGAGCTGATGAATGGATGGGATGAGCTGATGAATGGATGGGATGAGCTGATGAATGGATGGGATGAGCTGATGAATGGATGGGATGGGATGATGAATGGATGGGATGATGATGATGATGGATGATAGGGCATTTACTTTACATTGTTTCTTTGCAAGGTTTCCTTTTTGTTAGTATTGGTTCTCCTTTAAAAAAATGTAAAAATCTCCCCGCCCCCAAAAATTTATATTTCTCGATTCTCTACTTCAGGATATCTACCTTCTATCCTTCCAGTTGTCCGAAACTCAGCTATTTACCATCAAATGAATTAATTTCCTCCATCCAGAACTCTGAACTAAAAATACCGGCTAATGGCCCTTTGTGATGGAATTCCCCCACGGGGTACAGAGGACCTTAAAATAGTAAAAGCTTTCGAAGACTTGTCCCTTCCATTATACATCCGATAGCGCCAGGTATATATTTAGAGAGATATTTAACGGAAAAGAAAAAGGCAGCTCTCCCTTATATAGTCACATTGTAGGAATTGTTGGAGATTTCTCCCATTTACACACACTC